GAATGCTCATGTATTTATTGGTAAATTATAGAAATTGACTTGATGTCTTATTTAAATAAAAGACTAATCTGCTTCCTGCAGTTTTAATATCCACCACACTTGGCTAAACAATTTGGAAATGTAATTATGTTTGACACAACTATCACATTTAACAGTCATTTTGACCATTTGCATCAGTTTGAATTTGAGTATAATATGGTATTGCCTTACAAATGAACCCTGCATTTAGAGAAACATACTGCTTTGACATATTAATGACATAGTTTATATTCTGGATGGACAGATGCAGCTCTCTGTTGTCAGCGACCACGCAGCCTATTACCTTTCCCATTACTCAGTTGATTGGTTCTCAAACTCTCTGTCTAAACAAGAAAAATATGAACTTTACATAAGCCGTGGAGAGGCATTAATTAAATTGCAGCCATTTTCAGCCACAGCGGTTGCCCTCTAAAGCAGTTTGACTGACGAGAATGATTTGGGGTCAATAAGTCATCTGTACCAAGTTGCATGTAGGAATTGTAGGTGTTTCTAGGTGTACAGTCTGTTCATAAACAAGAGTGGCCTGGATGATGAAGAAAGCTCTGTAGCTGTGAGGGTGGATAAATAGAGGAATATTAGCAAAAGCAATTATTAGATTGAGTCTAGTTATTAGTTTTTCAAACACAACTGCAGGTGGACTCCAATCAGCAAAGGGCTTTGGAGAATTAAGGGACAAATAATGACTGAGTGGATTAAATAGCAGGCTGAGTTTGAAAAGACCAACTGCATGCTTAATCAGACAGGAGTACACACAAGTATCGCAATAAAGAGCCTCATACAGAAGTAGTATAGTTAGGAATAAACATGTTAGAATAGTTCAACCATTTTCATCCTGTTTTGTGCTAAACTTTCAATACAAGTTATGAAAATCCATGAAGCAAATAATAAATCCAACCTTAATATTTGTCTATGAATATAAAAGGAGACAAAACCGAGGCCATCTTTCACAAAAGCTGCCAATTTCAGTGCCTCCGTGTAAGCAAATCCAGGCACATGTCTTTTTGTCATACACAGAGACATTTGTCTATATAGAGTGTGATAAGCAGCAGAGCTCGCTGTTCCAGTGGCTGAATGCGTCATTGTGCATGTTATTTGACTTTTCTAATTCGTGTGTCGGTGTTTATGTGCATGTGACAGTCAGGAAGTGCTGGCAGTGCATGACAATGACTGCTTTGACAAGAGGGATCACGGCTGTGCTAAGGGAAATGGGACATGAAGAAGAAAACAAACAGAGTGAGGGGAGAGAAGGGGGGTAATATGTCAGGCTTCAGTGTGTCGACGCTTGGATTCTGACTGTTGCATGTGAAAATATGTTTCATCAAGATCTCAGACAAGACTGAGGTGGGCCTGTTCCTGCTCTCACCTAACCTTCAAATGACATTAGGCGTCCCGTCAACATACGATGAGTCACTGCGAGTGGAGGTGATGTATTCAATCGGCCGAGTAGCTGGATCGCGGGATACAAATCACTTAGATGGAGCCATGGAGTGACGACCCAGAGGATGTGTGCACACAGGTTATAGGGGAATAATGCCTTTAGTGTGCTCAAAGAGAAACATTTTTCAACAAGGAGATGGGTGCACACAAACTTTTATATGCAATAGCAGTGTTTATAATTGCAATTATGACATGACTAGCAATGAAGCTATTCAGTATGGATTTATAACTTACAACACTGATCCATAAGAAAGCCATGTTACCTAACTAAACTCAAAGGTACACTAAATGTATTGAACCAAATAATTAAAGCTGAGTATATTAGGATTAGGCATTAAGTATTGTGAGGCGAGGGAAAGAGGTATTTAAAAAACAAAACAATATTTAAGATTTAAACATCGACTGTATGTACTGTCTTTTTTACTCCCACTACCTCATAGTGATCAGCAACATTAACTCAAGTAAATGCTTGTTCTTAAATTAGGTTGCATTATCTAGGTCTAGTAGAGCGGAGATAATGTTGATGAGGACAGAACATATTGTAACCTTCTCTTCGAATGTACTATAGGCTCTTAATAAAGGGTCACAAAGGCAGAAAAGCCTCACAGCATTCTCAGTGTGGACAGCTCTAATGACACTTGATGAATGAGCTCTTTTGCACATGCATCCATCTTGTGTGCAGGGCCGACTATTGACTATAGGATGGTCTTATGCATGCAGAGTGTTAACACTTATGGTGCTGTCATCTCAAATACTGCTTTGTATTGCATTAAGAACAAAATATGCAAACTAAACAAAGCACAAATGAAGAGAGTCTACCTCTCTGTCCATAGAAGGAATAGACAAAATGTGAGGTGTTGCGTTGATGAGTGTTGTGAGATGATTCCAGAGAAAGCGATTAGGCAGGGGAGCAGTCTGGCACATCGTTAGTCAGGGGTGTCAAGAGCGCAGATAAATGAAGTGTCAGCAAAGCACCCAGGCACCACAAGGGGGAAGTCATGAAAAATATAACAGTACACAGCAGATACAATAAATGTAGAAGAAAGAGTTTAGCATTTGTTTATATAGAAGGCAATAATTTTATATAAAACTGCTGCACAGTGCAAAGTTAGGTATAACTTCAGGTCTTATGTGCTGACATTTACAGTTACAGTTTAAATTGCATCTTAACTTACTATATAGTATAACTAATCCTATCTGTCCTTCACTGGCTCCATGTTTGTTTCAGAGTGGATTTTAAAATACTTTTATTTGTTTTTAAATCCTTATAGGGCCTTGCCATGCAGTACCTTGCTGACCTGCTGGTGCCATACTCTCCAATGTGCTCCCTCAGATCTGCTGACCAAGCTCTGCTCGTAGTTCCTAAGTCCAGGAGAAAGCTTAGAGGAGACAGAGCATTTTCTGTTGTTGGACCTAAATTATGGAATGAGTTGCATATTCACATAAGACAACTCTCTTCTTGCTTTAATAATCACTTCTTAAAACACACTTGTTTTCTTTGGCTTTTAAAATGTTTTTGTCTCAGTATACAGCATTTAGGTCAACTTTGTTGTTTTTAATAGTGCTTTATAAATAAACTGGATTTGGGTTTGATCTATATAGCTATATAACTAGTATAGTTGATCGCTGTTTGTGTAGTTGGATTACAGAAGCCATTACTATAATCAAATATTTGGTTATAATATCTGTTTTATGTATCTATTTTAAATCTATATAATTCAATAATAACTAATGACATTATTTCACATAAAACATTATAATGTGCTGTAAGTTGGTAAAGACATACAGAATAAACTTTACATTTGTTTTAAAGAAGTCTTCATTCTCATATCACAGGGAGTTTTTGTGGTAGACTTTTCAATATTTGATCATGCATAATAAGATATTTTAACTTTTGGCAGCAATTTTTACAGATTATATTGACTTTTGATCAAAGGGAAGGTTCCAAGGATACTTTCTTTCATATTGTGCCTTCCAACTTTCACTGGTTTGAAGTGATTCAAGTAAAAAAAAAAAGAAGATACAAGATTGAATGTCTTTCAAATCATGTTTTCCTCTGACAAAAGTGAAAATGTGGTTCTAATAGTAAATCTTAATGTTTTCAAGAAATTAAAAAATTAAGCATTGAACCTACCCATTCAATAATGCCTCTCTGTCTTAACATGGACACTGATTTCATAAGTTGGTGCAGTTTCTCGAAAATGTCAGAACATGTTAAGAGTGTATGGTGTGTTGACTAAGACATATTCATTGTTGGAGGACTGTGGCTTTGAGAAAAGGAGAAAATCCTTGAAGCAGATGGTATGTTACTAATATTGTGGCAGCACCTAGAGTCACTTAAGTCAAACCTGTGTACCGCTGCACACTGACAAAACCCATTAAGCAATTAGTGTAATTATGGCTCTCTTTTTCAGTCAAACACAAGCTGGTCAACACACAGCCGCTTGTTCAATTTCATATCTCTAGCACTGAAAGTGATGCTTTAGAAAAAGAGCAAAAGTTCACAGGCTTAATATGTTGGTAATTAGCTATTCTGTAAATAGTACAGATGCTGCTTGCTTGTTGCTGACAGCATTATCTTAACAATTTTATTTGGGCTAGTGCATCATAAACTCAAAAATCAGCTTCAAGGTTATACACAAGGGACAGTCAGATACGTTTTTCTCCATGTGGCAGCAATTTTATATTTGACAGGTAGCTGTGGGGGCAGGAGTCTGTGATCTTATAGCTTCACGGTCAGGAGTATCTAACTGGAGAATAAGCATAATGAGCATGTTTTAGATGAATAGTGAAATGGGCACCCAGAGGAAATCACCCACAGTTACTTGTGCATGGTTAATTTAGGTATCCTGGAACAAAATGCTCTGCAGTATCACACAAAAGTGGCACATATAAGTACAATTAAAATGTCTGAAGGGGAAGTATGAGCCAAAGTCACAGGGCTGCAGACATGAGCAGTCTTACACTGCTCTTTGTTAGGAGCTGTAGAGCACAACATGAAGAGCTGTAGCTGCTCTTAATGAGTCATAAATCAGATTGATATGAATCCTCCCCACAGCACTATTAGAGCAAAGTGTTTCCAACCTCATTAATTTCCATTAGGGAGCAGCTATCTGCTAAGTTTACTATAGTATAAAATTTTCTCCGAGGCACCATCTTTATGATCTTATGATAACCCTCACTTCTCTTTGCCCTGATATGCCCAAATCACATTGCTCATAAAGGTCAGTACTTTTAATATCCCACTGGGACATATTCTGAAGGCTTTTAAAGATATAACGCAACAATGAACTGTCCAAATCTCATGACACACATACAGTAGATGCACAGTTTAGTGAAAATAAATCACTATGTTTAGATCATAAGCCTAGTCTACATGCAGACTAAGCAGATATCCATACCAGGACCAATGAGATCTACAAAGATAATTGCACAATATAAAGAGTATAATCCCAAAAGCAATAACAGTTCTGAACTCAAAGAAATTTTTAAACAAACAGCAAAAATACTGTGCAGTTCCTTACCAGAGATGTAAAGATGTAAGTGTAGTAGACAGACAGCATCCCAAGCTCAGATGCCTGCAGAGAGAACAAAACTCAGGTCAGAATACAAAAATATAACAATATGGTAGAAATGCGAAAATTGAGGGGTGGATTTTAAACAAAAGGATGCTAAGCTGGAGGTCACCGCTTGACAAAAGAATAAAAGCATGAAGCCAGTAAAAGGAGAGAAGGTAGGAGGTCAGTGATTCAGGGAAAGTCCATCTCCAGTGTACTGCTGCTGCTGACAGATCAAATCCACATCTTGATAAAACTAGACACGTTCTTATCTGACGATGTCTCTCAATGGAGCAATTAATTTCTTGAGCATTAGTATGCCGCTCGCCATCCTGTCTCACAATTTGAGTAAATCAAAGTCACAGGGAGAAGCAGTTGTGAAGGACAGGGTGAACTTCCATCGTTTCATTTCATTAATAGCAGCAGGGAAGATGCAGCACACAGACTCCGTGGCCCCAGGGATGTGTGATAGGAGTGATACCACAACCAAATAACAAAACAAACTTTAAACTTCTAAACTTCTATGAAAAACAACATACAATCTCTAAAAGAAGGTCATCTGCAACTCGACTGGAGATTTATAAAGGGGTTAGTCACGTATATTTACTCCGCTACCAAAACAAAAAGGTGTTTGGAAACTGACCGCAAGATTTAATTCTCAGACCACAAGATTTCCAACGTTGAGTCTGCAGTCTATGCTTGAACATTTTGCTAACCAACCAAAATAAATAAAATCTAGGAATATCAGAACCAGAAAATGTTTTATTGCCACTGTGAGTAAATAGTAGGGATGTAATGATATCCAAGTGCACAATACGATATTGTCACGGTATGAACCTCACGGTACGATATTTATTGTGATATCTTGGGAAAGCTCATGATTAGGGATATAATGATATTCAAATTTCTTGGTACGATATTTTCACGATATACATCTCATGGTATGATATTTATTGTGATATTTTGTGGAGGCTAACAAAACTGTTAATATACTACTTTTTCCTCTTAATAAGAACTTAAGAACTGAGACTTAAAAGTGCTTAAAACTGTTATTTCTTCGTGCAGTATACACTGAGATGGAGCAAAGAATCATGGTCTATGTAAATCCCTCTGTCTTTTATCGCTGCACCATAACTCTTAATTTAAGCAAAGAGACTTGTAATTCATACAATAAAGATAAAATACAAATACAAAATGTGTAGTATCGAACAGTGCAAAACTAGCTGTGAAAATAGATAAATTATCACTGAAGTGAGTTATTTAAAGTGACATGACTCTGATATTACTTTCTCATATGTGAATGAGAAAGACAACACATATCTAAGTAATAACCATGACATATATATAATCAGTCTCTATACTTGAATATCAAATAATTTGCATCAAAGACATCCACAGGTTCACTCAGATTCAGTATGAGTTCTTGTCCATCATCTTCAGACTGTCTGAATCATTGCAGTACTTTAGTTCAGCCCGAAGAGAATACTGTTTCATATCTGAGGGCTCCACTGTACAGTAGGCTATATGTCAAACCTTCACTCATTAAAAAGCAGCAGAAAAACATCAAAAGTGAGGGAGGAAAAGCATTCACTATTCTTATGTCAATGCACTATAGAGTATAGAAATTATAACATCAGGTGGTATCATTATGCATTTCTTTCATATCCATAGAAAAATAATGTGTTTGAGAAAAAAAAAAAAAAAACATTATTGTGAGGTGTTGAATTTTAAATAGAAATAGTATTACTAATATAACATAAAAGATGCAGGAAAAACATCAATTACTTTAAACAAAAACAACTTGCAATATTAAACTTGGAATGAACTCAATATATTTGAAAGCTTTTACAGGGAAAATGTGAGGTGTAGTTATTGCTCCAGGGAATGTATAGCTGCTTTATGTTTGCTGGATAGATAGAACATAAACAAATTAACAGCATTTTTCAAGCCAATATGACATCTATTTATTCTGCGTCTTAGGGACAGTACTTAACTAATGCCTGTTGCTCCAAATAGGGGCTTTTGGAAGGCTCAAGGACATTAAACTGAATCTCCATTTTCATATTCATTCACCAGGTATAAAGGCTCCTCTTTACTAGAATATGCAGGGTTGGCACGATGGGAAGAAGCAAGAGGAAACCCAGGGAGGCAAAACACTGAATTTGGCCAGACTACAGAAAAACCTTATGACCTCCGTGGGCTGATCATTGCACCAGTCCACAGAATGAGAATTTATTATTAACACAACCATAATACTGTTCTCCTAAAACAATAGGTTTGGTTAATGTTATATCACAACATTCTAGAAAGTCTACAAAATCGAGCTTGAGGGAAAGGTCAGAAATCGATGGTTAAGTTTTCTTTTCAACAATCAGACTGCAGATTTGTTGACCTGGTATGTGAATAATACCTCTGTAATGGGCCTACACACATTAAAAAGGTCAACACCTCCTCACAGTCAACATCAATGAAACAGAGTGCAATTATTATTATTTCAATATTAAAGAGAGGATTGTTGTCAGTTGAAATGACTTTGGGCCATAAGATTAATATGATAAGTTTGTGGAGCCTATCACTAAGATCTGTTCATTTGTGAATCATCCTTTCTTAGATTTCTTCCAAAAACAGTAAATCTCCCTGTGATAGAAATTTAGATTGTGGAAAGATTTCTCTCAATCTGTCTTTTGTAAATGAATGTGATTTCTACCTGAAACCCAGACCAGTCATTAACATGTGTAAAGGTTCATCAGACACAACTGTCTCCGCCTTCAGGAAGCCTTTTGTTATCATCAACTGTATGTTCATTTAGCACCAGCCTCTGAAATCACAGTCACTCTGCATTGATATGTATGCACTTGTATTTCTGTATAAATACTGAGAGCTCAAATGCTCTGGGAGAGAGACCTGGAGGGGACATGGGGGAGACAGGGTGAGAGGCTGTTGGGCTTTGGCCGAAACAGGCCTAGGCCCTGTCCATATCTGCTGTAACAAGAATAAACCTTGGTCTATATTCCAAAAACTCATCAGGCTTCGCAAATGGATTCATTATTTATTTTCAAGAGATATATATAATTTTTGCCACAACACTCCCAAATAGACATGGCCCCTGCCCTCTATGTGAAATTATGACATAATCAGATTCAAGAAGATTAACCTACTAACTGTATACATTCCTCAGAAATGAAAGTAGAAATGCCAGGCTTATTAACAATCTTTTGTTTGGTCTAGTCATGCACAACAGTGGTGGTCTGACTGAATGTGATTACACATTCACAATGGTGGGCAGCAGACTGAAACTCACATAGAGACACTGGGGTTTGATGTAACAAGAGAGTGTAGGGAATCCTTTGTGAAACAAAAGACAGACGTTTCCATTTACACAAATTAATCATCATAGCAGCCTGGATACTGCGCAAAACTGTACAGACGGAACAAAAGAGTAGCACTGCCAACTTCACGCTACAAATGCTGAACACCTCACACAGTGGTACCCAAGGTAGGACATGAGAGAAAAATAATCAAACTGCATTTGTATGAAACTACAGAAAGAAGAATACAATACATAGTGAAACAGAAGGCAAGAACTGAACAAAAGAAAGAAAGACATCCCACTGTGGCGGCTGACTGATTTCAGACCCGGGGTGGCCAATGTTGCCATGGTGACCGGATGACCACTGATGGGAGCATGAACAGTTGATTGAGGTGAGGGACTTGATGTGAAGACAGAGAAGAGTTTGAAGAATGAGAGGGACATGTGAGAGAAACATCTTCTCTCTTGGTCTTAAGTTACTGTCACCTCCACTCACTTTGTGCATCCATCGCCTTCAGCACATAATGAGGTGTGTATTAATTACTATGCAGCCATATGCTGTGACTGAACACATTCTCCTTCTCCAGCATGGCCCTTTAAAAGCCCATAACAAATGAGCAGAGCCCGATGACTAGAGGACCCAACATCCTCCAGACAATGCTATGGCATCTTTAAAGGTGCATTGTGTAACTTTTCTGGTGGAGGGTTTGTCTGGTCTCCATGGACATGCTTTTGCTTTGTCTGGAATGTCTCACACAGTATGGTATTAAACCTTTCTACCTAAACCTAACCAGACCAAGTTACAAGTTAACTCTGCGGAGAAACAACGCAGTTAACAATCTGAATGCCTGTTTTTCTTAGACTTAGACTTGAACTTAGACAAACTTTATTGATCCACAAGAGAAATTATTTGGACATGCTTTCTAGGTATTTTTGAGCTATAAGACCATCTGTAATTTAATAAATGTAAGGCAGAGCTGTTTATTGACATACTGTGCAACATTCCAGGCAGGGCAATGATATATCCATAGAAACAAACAGGTGATGGAGCCCTAACCAAAAAGTTGCATAGTCCATCTTTAAAATTGCTCTGAGATGTTAATTATTGGCAAAGCACTTAGCTTAAATCGTTAAGGGTTGTTAATATACCACACTTGAGACTAAAGCAATTTTAAATTGGAATTACCAGCAAGAAAGAGAGCTGCAGAGGGGTAAAGAAGTTGTATAAAATTATGTTGCATTTAAAACTAGCCAAAAAAGCTTCTTACATTAAGAGCCAGTAATCGCAGTAATCCTCTTAACCCTGCTAAACAGTCGCTATACAAGATGAGTCATGGATTACAACTTGACTTAATGCTGTCAACCGTATAATTTGATAGAGTGTTTGTTTGACAAGATGCCGTCGCTTCACTCCTCTTGGACCACATTACTGGATAGAGACTGTACGCACTGCCAAATGCTCATCAATTCAAAAACTGCCAAATGGTTTATGGCTTGTTTTGCTTTGTTTATCTGCCATTATCTTTGGATAACCATGCACATGCTGGAGTTTTACAAAGTACTTCTGGAAATCAAAAGAATCCTCCACATACATTTTTGTCTTACCTGTGAACATTTTAGCCCTCAGCACTTTTCAGCAGTATTTCAAGGAATTTATACCAACACAGATCACAGAAATGTTACATGAATAAATCACAATGAATCAAGGCTGTTTATTCTATACATGTGCCCCATACTGACCCGCTCCAGAATGATATGTGACATGGTAGCATTGGCGTCCACGATGATGGTGGCAGTCTTGTCGTCCCGGATCTCCTTGAGGAGCGGGGTCGGATCCTGGCTGTCATCAAGCATGCGCACTGACAGCGTTTCCTTGGAGATGAGGAACTGCCTGAGGAGCTGCTCCAGGTTTAGTAAGCCTGCAGGAGAAAATAACATCAGGAGATTAACCGTAATGAATTAGAGACTGCTGAGTAGACAATTTTTTCATTAGGGAATTTCTTTTTGAAAGTATTTTTTATCACTACCTTGTTTTGACAAACAGACTCAATAACTTTTAAGCATACTCATTGTTTTGCTTTTGCTACGGTTGATAACAATGAAGTTAATATACTTTCATGCTGAACAAGTGGGCTGATTATCCTTAATTACAATAATTGTAAAACCATCGACTACAAAGGGACGTTTGAGCAGCTCCCTTGTAGTCTATCCCGGTAATAGTGTTGTGTGACTCAAGTGAGGTAAGTAGGATTTGCCCTAATTAAAGCATAGCAGGACTCATCAAATATGCTCCTGGCAGCTCTTTACTATATATTACCACACCCTGAGAGGTTACAGGGCTAATTCTTTTATTGTGAATGTACTTGGAGGTAATATACAGCAACAGTCAGAAGTCAGACAAATACTAACACTTTTTCTTTTAAACTGAGACCACCTTGGTGCTCTGGCAGATCGAAGTGAACTCATAAAACATTTCTTAGCAGGTCTACAAGGAGCCACACGAGACGGACCTAACTTTGTTAAAGGATTTACTTCAGTGAGGTACCATCAATGAGCACTACTGAAAAAGAAAGATGACTTGTCAAGGGAGCTTTAAGAGCCCGTGTGATGGGAGACTTTGTTGGATAAATCTGTGGGCTACATATTGAGTTAAATGACGCCAGTCTGTTACAGCTTGTTCTACTGACACTCTATTGTTTGTAAACAGAACTGCTTTCTAAAGGCTGATACCTGATGGAAAGTTGGCTCTAATGTGTTTTCAGTGGTGGGAGTTAATGCTAGCCACCAGACAGGGCAAACTATAAACAACAAGGGCTGATTTGGGCTACTGACAGCCACTCGATCACACATGAGTAATATTAGGGCCTTGTTATGTAGAAGGACCAGTTAGGGCCAGAATTAGCATAAAAGCCTCGACCACCAACTTGAATTTATGCAGGACAAATTGCACCAAAAATATTACAGTCCTCAATAGTTTGACAATGCAATTTTAATCGTATTTGACCAAGCATTACAAAACAAAAATGGAATTTGATTCACTTGTCTAACGTGTGTGAAAGACTTGATGCTTTATTTGTGTTTATTATGCATATATTAACTGTTTTACTTCTGTGTACTCCTTGTGCTGCTGCCTTCTGATCAGGCTGTCATTTTAAATGAAAATGCCTTCTCAGTCTCCCTACTTAGATAAATAAAGGTCAACAAAAACATTGTCGGCAAAAAAATCACATAAACAATATCCATTTATTCCTGCGGTATAAAATTCATGTCTTTATTTTGCATCTTCTCCGGCCTGTATCAGCTTGTCATGGCCCAGCTCTGCCCAGCACATTAAATCTCATATCCTGTCCCATATCTCCCTCCTATAGCCTATAGTCTTTGCCAAGATCTGTCTAACTAGTTCATTTGTCTCTGAGTCTGTCCAGATTGAAATTATATTACAGTTTATTTAAGAGCATGTCTTCTTGCAAGATATATTCTTTAGTATCAGTGTGTAGCATAACAACTGTGTGCTCTTGCATGTGTTTTTGTGGAGACTCTGTGAAGACCTTTACATGTTGAAGAAACTTGTTATGATACCATTAGGATACAACTTATTTTCTCAACTTCCTTACAAACTGTACTAATAGGTTTTATACTGTGCACTCATTCTGTTTAATTGATGTGACTTTCTTATATTGTGTACTGATTGCCATAGTAAAGGTAAAGTGACTTTCTCAATAGGCACGCTGTCACCACAAAAGGACACGATTTCCTCTAGTAACACAGTGTGAAGACATAAACAGAATAACACAAAACAGACACAGAAGGACATATACTTAAAGTGAGATAAAGGTGAATGAAAAGGAACACAGCCAAAGTCAACCCAGAAGCTTGTATATTATGACTACCTTTTATTTTGCCTGAAAAAATCTGTTTTATGAGTGTGCCACAACAGCCTTCATTGCTTTTAGATGTTGTGATGGCAAAACACTATGTCAAAAATGGGCACATCTATTTAACGCCAATTACCATAACAGTAAATGCAGACAATAAAATCCAGCCGTCTGACAACATGATGCGTGCCTGTCAATCAACCCCCTGTCTGCTTTACTATTCACTCTTTACTATTGCACCTGTGAATGATTTATCCCCCTGGATGGCTCATTCTCCAGCTTGGCCGTCTGTGCAATGCATATGATTAAAAAGAACTTCGGAAAGATCGCTTCTCCCAAAGCTGTTATAGAGAATATAAAACCATAAAGGTAAAGGAGTTAAACTTTGGATGCACTGGTTGGCCATCTGCTTGACAAATATATGGTCTGAAGTTTGAATTCCAGACTGTATAAAGCTTTTCTATGAAGAATTTACAAGCTCTACAAGAAACCCCAGTTCTGAAACAAAAAGGAATCTTTCAGTTAAAAATCCTTTAAAATGATACCTTCAAATGGCCCCAAGCTCAGAGCTTCACAGCCTTTGATCCTGATATGACTGACCCCCACTTTCAGAACCACTGTATTAGTGTGCATTAAGGATTTAACTATTGTTTGCTCATGGTGTCAATAATTCTGAATAATTCTGAAAAACTATGAAATGATGATAACTCTAAAAAGTTATGTTGTGATATCTCTACTTCTGAATGAAACTTAGCCATTTTCTACAGAAAGGCACAAATACCACAGTTGCCATGGCACTAGTGGTAACATCATAGTTATTAATAACCAGCTCCTGTAATTACTGTCAAAACTCTACACTTTCCTTCTCCACTAATCACAAAAGCATATTTACAGGCACTCATTCACATGACCACACGCAGGCATCAGGCGAGTGCTAAATCCTCCATAAATTATTACAGGAGATAACAGCCAACCATGAAAAAGAGCAAACAGAGTAATCTGCGCTTTGAGATACCTGTAGTGTTGTCTCACAATGACTTTCAACAACAATGCAGTGAGAAAAAATAATCTTGTTCTGTTGTTGAAAAAAAAACCTACTGCAAGATAATGCCTGTACTAGACAATATTAAAATTTTAACATTTATTCATGTTGGCAAACAAAGAAATTAAAGCATAACATTATGATCACCTGCAAAACATTGCAGGTAAATATTAGAACTATGAATCACATGTCATACATGGCTCGTGATATGATATTAATTTTCTCCTCGCCATGATATTATAATGATAATCAATGTATTGCGCATGACATATTGCTGTTTTTTAAGAACCAAATACATTTTATTTTATTTAAATCACTCCCTGTGGAAAGTTAATATGAAATTTATATTTTAAATCATCAAAACCATGAATATGCCAAGCGTATTGCATAAACAAGTTTCCATCCATTAAATAAGCAATAGAATTGTAGTGCAACCACAAAAAATTGCTTAACAATACAAAAAATACTCTTGGCGACATACCGATACAGCAGACCACAATATAAATACTGTACAGCCAAATTTAGTATCATGATATATTGATATTTTGCACACCCCTAGTAAATATGTTCTTACCTGTCTCACAATCAAAATAAGTAAGTGAATAAACTAAACTCCAAGCACCAGCGTATATAGTTTAATATAATTAAATTTGTTTTGCCCTTCATATGGTCATCTTGGACAGTACAAATGTAACCATCCACCAACTGTACAAATGTCCCAATACAATGGATAGAGAGGGCCAGTCGCTGAGCAGGAGCTGCCTTTGATAGTAGGTTAGTAAGATTAATGCATGTCCTGGTGTGCACCACGTCTTTGGGCAGAACTCCAGCTCCTCTGCTCTTGCCTCCTCAGCCATGCCTGGGAAATATTCATGAATTGGTTACGCTCTATTAGGCTGTCACCGGCTCGTGTGATTAATGAGGCCGGCACACGTGGACCCATCGCAGACAGCCAGTTACCAACCCACTGTGCAGCTATGGGCGCGACCAATGGGAGTTGGAGTCCAGTGACTTTCAGCTGATGTTATTGCTGAACACAGACTTTGGCACATGAAGATGCACAATGTAGTTCAGGCATGCTGCCATTTTGTGTCTGTTCTGTTCAATGAATCAAGCTTGCATGTGGGCGATCAATGCCACCATGTCACTTCCTGGATTCTCTCTCACGCTCCAATGTTGCCAATTCCAGTTACACTTCTCATTTTCCCCTCGTTCACAGTAATCACTTTAGTCCACCCCAGACATTTCATGAGTAACAGAGCCCACCCAAGCCTTCCAAAACCACAGCCTCTATTCATTGACCACCTTAATCTTGACTATCAAACTCTCTCTCACCCACCCCATTACTCGCATTCAATCTTTTCATCTCATTTCATTTCCTCTGCTCCCAGGTCTTAGCCTACTGACACAGACAAGAAAAAAGTCCCACTAACCTGCAGGGGAACAAAAGTCGTGATAAAAATGAAAATCTTTGCACAGAACCATTCGATATTAGAGTTGGGAGGTGCTTATAAAGGTCCGCTTGCTATCAGTGGTTTTTGCCAGTGCAGTGTTAATCAGCTCACTGCGGAATAAATGTCAGAGAAACAGAATCCGAGCTGAATCAGAAAATGCAAGCAGCCTCTCCAGAATGAAAAACACTATGACCCTGACTTTTAATTAATCTGGGGAGGATAAAAGAAGGTCCAAATATGTTGAATACATGTGTGTCTTTTGTAACATAACTACAACTAAAGGTTGTGCGTAAATAGCAGCAGACATTGTGGGGGAGGCAGGAGAAAGTTGAAACAGGCAGGGACGTGGACAGGAGTGAGTCACTATTTGCTATGGTTACTTTGATAAAGGTTTGGTGTTTCCAATTGATCCTTGAAGCCTCGCTGATTAGAAGAGAGGTTACGTGGGGGCACTTAATTGATGGTCAAAGAAGTTGTAATTACAGCGTTGAAGAGCATAAAGACAACAATCTTTGGCAACTAATGAGAGCTTTGCAAAATATCCTTATCCCCATTGCATACATTATGAAGATGAGAGAAAAAAATGAATCACAAAAATGTGTTTGAACAAGTAAGGCTGTCACAGAAATCATTAAATAATTAAAAGGCTTCAAACCTGACAACCTCAGTATCCATGTTATTTACCACATCTTCTATAAACCATCAAACTCTGACCTCTTACCTTTTCCCACAAACCATTCCTTATCTATCTTCTCTAAAGAAAAAAATCTTCAGCTCTGCATTCAATAGTGCAGACTTAAAGAGATATCATACACGTCTTACCACTTAAAATGGTTAAAGCATGTATTTTATTTTGCAATGGGGGTCCAGGGTTGGTTAGTGTTAGGGAACTGCTGCATTATCCTGAAAATAATTTCCCTTGTGGATCAATAAAGTTTATCTAAGTCTAAGTCTAAGGAGGTTGTTGGATTGTCGCTTGATATATTGTTATTTGCTGTTTAAGCCAAAATGTATTAAAATAGTGGCAGTTAATTTTAGCAGTGTGGATGGGAGAAAGAGGTGTTGTCAGAACACAGCTGGTGTGCAGCTTGTGTACGATTCTATGTGTTGAAAGAGTGCAGACAGTAAAAAAAAGTGTTATTGCTGTGTATTGTCAGATGTGAGCAGGGCCTGTGTTTAGTGTGGAGTTATAGTGGAAGTGTGATACTCACAGTCGGCCTGCGCACAGATGAGACAGGCCGTGGTGCTGTTAAAGAAGGTGAGGAGGCCAGCTACTGCCAGGCTGATGTCTGTGTTGGTGGGCCGAAGATCTAAGGTGGTGAAGCGAGGAAACTGCACTTTCAAAATGTCTTCTGGAGCCACCTTCACATAAGGCACCTGCAGAAAATAACAATGCATACATATTTATCATTTTATAGTGTAAGCTGGAATTGACAGAACTTTGTTTACAATGCATCACACATATGCAGACACACAGAACCCCAAAACAGATAAAATGCTGAAACAGTTAGAGGTAATTGCAGCTTAAAAATAGCAGACAGCCAGCAGACAGCGAGAGGAAGCAAATCGGTTTACTCTGTTATGATAAATTGCAAGCAATGATAACCCTGGGGTCTGAGGTAATGTGCATACTCGCACTACACATTGTTCATTGTTAGCAGGGTGCTGCAGCTCATGTAAAGAACAAGTATGGATCTGACACTTAGTTTTGTTACACCCACACGGACAGACCTCGTTAGAGAAACTCTTTGTGCGACACCTCCGCACCTACTGTTCTAAAACAGTTGTGTTCACAGTGTTTAAAGGAGCATGTATAGGGCATGACCTTTATTCATGCCTGATCACAACTCAATTAAATCTTATTGTTTGTTTAGCATTATGTTTGTTTAAATAAGCTGTTAATATAAATGAGCTATAAAATAAAATCATATTTAAATACAGCCAGAAATATCTTGTTGGTTCCTGTGACATATATGCATATAAACAAACAAGGAGTAAAAGAGAATTATGCTGTACATTGAAGAAATACAGCAAGAAAAATTAAGAAACAACATTTTTAGATTTAGTATCCACCAACACAGAACTAACTTTTTATGCACTAAATTAGCATTGCACATATATTTCTTCCGCCCTCAGCTGTCCCTTTGTTAAATTGC